GAAAAACGGCTTTATGTGGTGCTGCCGCTGTAAATAGAGCATCAGGAAATCTGTTTAACAATCACTCATGGGATGTTTAATGAGTCTATAGTTAGCAATTCCAGCAGAGAACAAAAATACATTTTTAATCAATCAGCTACATTGCATTACAAATGCACAGTGCGCTGTGCTGCCTTTCGCAGTGGATTTGATTATGGCTGTTCAACATCAGTCTGTTCTTCAGTCGATTAATATCGTGTATAATAAGGATGCTCATGGGAAAGGCAACATCCAAACAGTGAAGCGCATTGTGTCTTAAATCCAACCAAGTGACATCATGTCGTTTTACCACTGAGGTCATATGAAACGCCCTGCACCGTGCTTCCCAAGAGAGGACAGTGGAAGATATTAGGTGTTTCGGGACACTCTGGGCGTAAGCCATATTTTAAGGTCTAAATTAGGTCCGCTAGTCTCAATCCTTGACCGTAATGGTGGGAAATGTCAGTATGATCTCAGGACATCACCCAAGTCTGCTGTCATTATCTATTAATGTTAAACTAGCCCTCAATAGCTCCTATAAGCATTTATTTACTCCTAATAAGAAGTCAGAGAAATGACTCTGTCTGGATGCTTCTAATACACACTATATTTGTAGTTTTCTTTTGTATCTTTGAATGAAATATAGCCACTTTTATACACCAAAGTGTGTAAATTACAGTAAAATTGCTGGATTGCCAGATTTTTCTGGTAAATATATAATATCTGCTGTGTTGTTCAAGCAGCTGATTTCTGTATTTTTATCTTTAAGGCTATCATTCACACAAAAGCACCAAAACAGCATAAAACTGCAGTATCAGTGATAAATTTGTTGACAAATTCAGCATTACATCACTTGCTCGCCAATGGATCCTCTGTAGTGAATGGGTGCCGTCAAAATGAGACACTGAATGAGAATTTGTTTTCACTTCACAATACATTAATTGATGGAGTCCTGTAGATTATTGTGATGTTTTTATCAGCTGTTTGAACTCTTATTCTGATGGCGCCGCATCCATTGGTGAACAAATGATATAATGCTACATTTATGCAAAACTTTTCCAATGAAGAAACAAACTCATCTACAACTTGGATGGCCTGAGAGAGAGTAAGTTTTCAGCAAATATTCAATTTTCTGTGAGTTGTTCCTTTAAATGCTGTGCTGTTTTCTTTTTCTTCTCTCCAGATGAAAAGAAGCACTTTAGTTTCACTATCTGTCCAGTTTGACAACATATGTTTGACTTCTGAGTGACAGGCGTACGGGGACGATCACAATGTGTTTTTGCTTTCTAAAAACCAAGATACTGCACAATAGTATCCAAAGGCAAAGCCACATTGTTGATTATTGAAATATATATTTATGTGGCACTCATGAAAAACACTAGATGTGAACAGTGGAATGGCAAAAATAATTAGAAGGTCATGCAAAAGACACAAGCACGACATTTAAAAACGTCCATCTCGTTTAATAAATCTGCAAAAATGACAACAATTCTGTGTTTTTCTGTCAATATGGGGTGCTGTGTGTACATTAATGAGGAAAAAAAATTAACTGAAATGATTTTAGCAAATGGCTGCAATATAACAAAGAGTGAAAAATTTAAGGGGGTCTGAATACTTTCCGTACCCACTGTACATACAGAAACAATGAAAAGCGGAGCAGTGGAATACAAAAACATGTTCTGTTTGATTGTATGATTCATACTTTACTTGATACGCTACTTTTGAGCAAACTTGATTAATTTATTATAGGCCTACGTGTTTGTCATCCTCTCCTCACCTTTCTGGAAAAAAAGAGAACCCTAAAAATCTCTGACACATTACTGACACATCATTTACTGAATGAAGCAAATCCAAACTAATCACAAGTCATCATACATCAAAATGACAATATATTATTCTGGCTTCACCTATCAGCCAGACCTCAATTTATTTGGCATCTAAATCGCTTTTGTGACATTTTTAAAGCACACCAGTACTCTGTGATTCCAGTCCAGCTTTTCCCTTCCAAAGGTGGATAAACAAGTCATGAAATCTGGGCAGCAAGCACTGCAGGACTATAGCTGTACTGAAAGCCAGAGTATCACATCCAGTCACACACCTCTTCCTCACAAAATGAATGAACTCGTACTTTTTTTTCTTTTTTTTTTCAGATACACAGGACTGGGTGCAATAATTGGCTTCCATTTCCTTTTATTGAGAGAGAGCACTATAAACTGTTTATGTATTTTAGTGCATTGCCTGACTTGAGAAGTTACATCATAGTTCAACTGAAAGTCAATTGAAGGTTTTTTTAGTACCCTCAAAATAACATTTTACGTCAATTTTTTTTAATCAAACAAAGACATGGAGAAAGAGCAAAAGGAATGTACACTAAATATTATGCTATAATGTTTCATATATTGTAGTGGCAGAATTTATGCTGTATTAACTAATATTCCAAATTATTAAAATAAATAAGGCCTATAATTAAACATTTAATAAAAAAATATATATTTTAAATCTGATTTAAAATGTGCAAGAAGAAAATAATAATAGAGTTAAAAAATAAGAAGAAGAAAGTTTAGCCATATATACAGGTGCAAGACTGACCGAGTCATGCAATAATTGTCTTAATTTGTGTTGTGTACATTATGATTACATCTAATCGTTTCTCATCAGTTGTATACCACGTTTTACCTTTTTTTAACAGTTCAGGATGTCTGGTGACTGTTTATATGACAGATCCCAGAAGCCTTTGTGTTTGAGATTGGGACTATTGTAGTAGCTCAGGAGGTTTAGTTAGTTTGGTTTGGCAACAGTCCTTCATTTTAGGGTTTCAAACCACTGTTTAGCTTTTGCATGAACAATTGCATTGTTCAATGTCAACCTTATTTTTACCTCCTTTCTTTTTTGAAAGTAGGATCGTGTCAACAGTTGGACTCGGAGTGGTCCTAAAAGTCTTACTCTCATGAATTCCAGCCAGGCTCTCATTGATACAGTAACAAAGCACGTTGAGTGTTGTTGGCCATTCGGTTAAATCATACAAACAGTGCGGATTCTGGAATTTTCTGACACGTTACAGCTATTTAAGATTATTGTGCACTTAATATTTCAAAGATGACAGAACTGTGTAGGGAGTTGTGTTTTAGTATCACAATACATGTCTGATTTATTATACTTTTTTCTTTTGTTCCCTGTAATTATGTGTATATTTTATTTATTGAAGATTCATTTACAAGTAATTAATGGATATTACAACTGCATTTTTATTTCTTTGTGTGATTGTGTAAACCATTAGAGTGATTTATGAAGTGGATATTGGAAAAAAGCTGTTGGCTTGCGGCTTGGGAACTGTAAGAATTGGATTAGAAGGTTTTGGGCTTATGAAAGTAAAAAAAAAGAGAAAATACCAACAAGCCCAGCAATCCAAGGTCCACAGTGGTCTTGTGTGTGTGTTATCAGTGGAGTGCCAGTGAGGTGGGGGATACCGTGGCATTATACAGTGGTACTGTGGCATCCGTCTATGATGAATAATGCCAGGCTTAGAAGATGTGCCCAAGCCAAGATTTGAAAAGCTTTGAAAGAGGAGGAGGAGAGAAATCGGGATTGTTCTTAAGAAAAACATTTCTATATGCACAGTTTGTTGTTATACAGTAAATGTCAGCAGTTGGTTTTATTTTTTGTTAATTTATAGCATTCTTAGATTTTTTAAATGTCTTGTTGGTTTTTTTTTGTGAGCATCTGAAACATTTTAAAACTAAAAAAAATACACTAATATGTGCTATTTATCTTTAAAAATGCTCCATTGGTGCAGGGTTTAAGTAAAGGCCGGTATTTGTGATACAGTATCTGAGGTGATTTTGTCAAGTGCATGGCTTCCTACAGAAATTGCTGTCACTCTTTACCTCTAACATCTGCTTCCATTAAAAGCCACTCAGAATGGTAATTTAGTGACCTGCTGAGCCCTGAAGCCATCTCTACTGAAGCACACCTGTGCTTTTCTAAGAGTATAATAGGATCAGGACTATTAGTTGGCAATTAGAGATTGTTTAAACCAAAAGTATTACCAGATCACATTACAGGCACTGGCCAAAACTGAAACAAGTTCACAAGTGCAAGTCACCAGACAGAAATGGAAACCTCTTTAATGCTTATATATTTATGCTGAGAACATGATAATCTTGTGCTGAGATACTGTATTAGTATACAGGCTGCTTTGTTATAAATGCTGTGGAAGATTTGTTTGTGGAACATTAATTAATGCCAAAGAGTGGTCACAGCATAAAAATAAAATAAAACCCTGATAGCATTCTTTCTACAGCTTTTAATTATTTTTAGGCTATATTTTTGGTACATATGAACCCTTAAAATAAATAATGTCACTTTTCTTTATATAAATATTTGAGTTATTTCCACAGCTATGACCCTTCATTTAGAAAGTCTAGTTAATGACAACATACCCCGTTTCATATTAGTAGGTGACATAAGTGTTTCGTATGGTTCTGAGTATTACTTGAAGCAGCCAGCAGTAAGGAGTTTAAAACATGCTTAACTAAACATTTATATTAAGAAGACATTGTGCACCGTGTGAATTTGATAACTTTTGATTGACCCTTGTGGATTATTAAATCTTAAACACACACACACACACACAGGGACCATGATTTGTGTAGCACTGAAAAACATGTCCAAGAGCTTACCTAATGTTTCACTTGTGGACCAATTTGGCCCGTCCAACACCCCGCAGCTGTTAACATACCGTAAAAATGCTCAGACTGGGCCAAAAGACAGGAAGTGGCTTGTATTTAGCCATCAACATGATAACCACCATTATTTTCTTTTCTTATGAGAAAAGTAAAGAACAAACTACACAAGAAAACTTCTGTGAAAAAAAAACAGTCAATTACACACGGTCAAACTGAAATTACTGATGTGCATTTAAATGGTTGGGATTATCATAACATGTTATTGTACATTCAATCTGTCAGTAGGCAATAAGTCAACATTTTGAAAAGTGTTTTTGTTTGCTTTGAAAACTATGTGTTAAAGCATGTCAAACGAGCCAATAAAACATTGTTAATGTCAACATGTCGCCCTCTAGTGTTCAAGAGACACAACAGATCAATCACTTTCCCCTGAATGGAAATATGGGGGATACATAAAATAGATAAATACATAAATACATAAAATAAATATACGAAATAAGTAAGGTTTAGTACATAGCCATTTTCATTTTTATTTTAAGTGTCCAATCTAATTACAGTAGCATGTTCAAGTGATATGACCACAGATAATAGGCCTAAACATGAAAACATTAAATTAATATTGTAATAAAGTTTTGGACTGAACCCTAACAAAAGATTTAACACCAATGTCAAAAGATAAATAGATAGATAGATAGATAGATAGATAGATAGATAGATAGATAGATAGATAGACAGATAGACAGATAGATAGATAGATAGATAGATAGATAGATAGATAGATAGATAGATAGATAGATAGATAGATAGATAGATAGATAGATAGATAGACAGATAGATAGATAGATAGATAGATAGATAGATAGATAGACAGATAGACAGATAGATAGATAGATAGATAGATAGATAGATAGAAAAATGTTGTGCAGGTAACCTTTTTCAAAATAAAAAAGAAAGACAGAAAACATTGATTTTCATCTTCATCAAAGCGTAGCTGTACTCTTTAAATATTTATTTTCTGTCTAACGCTTTGGGGAAAAGACGATAAAAATGTTTTGTTTCAAATTAATGATTTTTGGTGTGTCTCGTCTCTCGTGTGGTGTGTAAATGATGACAAACTGTTAATTTTGGGATAGACCCTTCCTGAGACACAGAAGACAATTCAGCCGCAAGGTGGCAGCAAATGCCTGTCTATATCGGATATCTCAGTTTACGTTACATGAACACTTTAATTTTTTAAAGACGACTTTCAACAGTAGCCTACAGTAGTTAGGTAAACATTAATGTTCAAAATGCTGGAAATTAAACAACTACTGCAAATAAAAGTGAATTTGATGGTCTATTTCATGTTTTTTTTCTACCTCATATCTTAAAATAACTAGTTATAGCCTATTATACTCCCTGCAATTGAACTCCACATTTACATAAATGGATGAATTTAGAGTCATGTGATTTTTGGGTAACACTTTACGGTGGCACTAATATACATTAATTCATGCTTAACTAATGCACAGATAATCATGAGTTAATGTATAACTCGTGATGAAGAACTAAACTATTTATTAATGATCAGCAACAAATGAACATTCTATATGATTAAGTAATCAATACATTGTTATTAGTTAAATGTGTCATAATGTATTAATTCCCTAATAACATTATAGTATTAACTAATTGTGTAAATGCATGTGTTAATTACCACAATGGGTCGAAGCCATGCATTTCAACTTCCAGTTGTCTGCTTTAATTGATCATAATGATTTGCAAGTGTATCTTTATGTTATGACTTTACTTGTTGAGGCACATGACTAACTAATTCAAAATCCATAACCACAATGACATATTACTTAACAATTAGTTAATAGTCCTGTGCTTCAACAAATCATAAAATAATGATAACTTTGCAAGTCATTAGCTAATGATTAATTAAAGCAGATAACTGGAAGTTGAAGTACTTTGACCATTGTGGTAATTAACATGAATTTACATAATTAGGTAATATAATATGTTATAAGGGAATTAATACATTATGACACATTTAACAAATAAGAATGTATTGATTATTTAATGAAACATAGAATGTTCATTTGTTTCTGAAGCAATAATCATTCATAAATTGTTTAGTTAGATAATGTAGTTATACATTAACTCATGATTATCTGTGCATTAGTTAAGCATTATTTAATGCATATTAGCGCACATGTATTGTAAAGTGTTACCGAATTTTGTTTCTGTAAGCACTCTATCAATGTAACTTAAAAATATTTGTTTTTACATTTTAATGAGTGCATTCATAATTATAATCACATTATTTTAAAACAGGTTTACAGTAAATAAAGCCTCAAAAAGGGAAAAAAAAAAGATCACCAAAAAATAATTTACTTTACCTTCATGTCATTACAAACTTTCTCACTCCCATGAAACAAAACAAGATTTTACAGTAGGCAGAAAGTAATCAAGCCCAAGTCACAAATCACTTGCATAGCATTTTCCCCCCATACAATAAAACGATCAGACTCATTCTGCCTAACAGCTCCTTTTGAGTTACACAGAAAGTAAGTTATATTTTATCCGTTTAATACCCACAGTGAGTCAAAGTCAACTGTGGCTCCTTCTGGGATGTTTAGATAGACGATAAAGATGAACTAAGACTCAGCAGGGGGAGCCCATCATCCTCTGACTGTATGCACATATTAAAACAAGCACTGTAAAACATACACAAATGGCAATGTTACTAGACATCATGCAGAATCAGAATATGTACAGTATAAGTCATTAATTAATCTCTCATAAATGCAATGATGAATTATCATAAGAAGGCAATGTTAATCACTCTTAAGAAGAGATCTTCTATATTGGAGTAAAGCCCTTCAGAATGAAGATCTTAATGAGAGTTTTTGGGTAAAGCTACGCTAGAGCCATCTCGATAACCAAAACCCTGCTTTACCCTTTTGTAGAGAAACTGCAAAAGTGATGTCAGATTTGTGTAATGAGGTAGTTTCCACCGCCACCCTAATGAGATTTTCTTGGCAGCGCTTATGGCTCCATCTAATGCAACATAATGCTGAATGCAAGACCCCCTATTGATGCCTGATGATGTAATGCATGATGCAACCGCGTGTAAGGCTTTGACCAGATTATATAAAAGATGAGGCCGAGGGATATTGGTGGAAAATTGTGCTGTTAGGAGAGAACAAGTTTTGTAGAACTTTGTATAAAGGTATAAATGTGGATCTAATATAGTGTAGCTTCTCTCTGTTTGGTAACAGTCTACAAATACACTTTGTTGCCTTTCTGCTTTTATCGTTATCAAGAAACCTTTTGATATATGAATATATGAAGAGGCCATATTGTGACTGATGCGATGAAAGGCCTAATCTAAACATCAAATTTTAAGTAAGCTCTATTGTTAAATTGAGGTTTATTGAGCTGCCTGTTCTATAAATACAGATGTCCTCTATGAGTTTGAACTGTGTGTGGTGGGGGTGAAAGGCTCTGAAGCCATGTGCCATTTTAAACCTTTCTTTTATGTGCCTTTTTACTTCATGTAACCGCACATGAAGGCTGGCTCCGCAGAGGATCAAAGATATGACTCCTTTTTTTTTAGAGTCTAAAGGGCTTTACAGTTTACAGTTGCCTTTATTATACAGTATGTCTATATACATTGTGGGTTCCAGAAGTCTAATTTAAAATGCTTTTAAAAATGCTTAAAACATAAATACATAAAAATACATAAAATATATTAAAAAAAATAGAATATAGTTTAAACTTGGAAATGAACAGAAACCTTTGGCATGAAAAAATATATAGATCAAAGTTGTGATGTAAAATCGCCCAAAAAATATTTCAGATTCTTCACCATTTTTAGGTCACTAATCAAATAATCAAATTTGTGACACTGATTGTGTGAACTACTTTGTACAGATGGGCAGATGCTCTTTTTCCATTACAGCTCAAGATGCTATTGGATCATCTCAAATCATGCTGGAGAACACAATCATCATGTTTGAGACAAATTTGAAGATTTCATGCAGCTTTAGTTCTGCCATCAAGCAATTGAGAAACAAACCAAATACAAAGACATTCAGAAATATTATTTGTTCAATCAAATTGGTGTGCTAATAATCAAATTTGTAATGAACAAACATTGTATTCAATTTTTAAAAAATGCAAATTAGAAGCATTTTTAATATAGTGGTCATAGGCCTGCTGTATAAGGATACTTTAACAACTGTACATCAGAACTGTTTTATGCTAAAGTTTCACACCACACAAAACAAACCAAATTTGTAATGTGAGACCTTTAAAGTAATATTTTAGAGTTTAACTGCAGCAAAGCAAAATCTGCCGTCCACCAACATCCTGCCTATACTGTAACTAAATTGCCAGATGCTTCTGTGCACAGTACATCATTTATAGGTTCCTATTGTGCTTTTTAATGTTTACTTTAGTGTAATGTTGCTGTTTTTGCATGAAAAAAAAATCTGCAAAGTTTCAAGTTTCTCCAAAGGGAGTTTGGAGTATCAGTAAGTGCCGTTTCTGAACTCGATTGCAGTCCTGGGTTTTCTTCTGGGAACATACACATCACAATATCCTGCATTTAAATAAATCCTGCCCAAGGCATAAGCTAAAAAAGTATAAGGGGGCGAGGCCTGGTTGAGTTGCATTAGTAGTGTGTTGTCACCATCTATCTCCAAGAGATGTCGTTTCACAGATCTAATAAAATGATACACATTCAGCTGTTTGCGTTCACAGACATAAACATCTGTGTTTGTGTGAACTTTGTGTGCTTGTAAAGAATAATCTTTACATTATTATGAAGAGCTGCAACGTCACACAAGCTTGAGTGTGATAGTAATGATAACTAAAAACAAACAGATATTTTGTTTTTATGCATATGCATGTTTTTGCATTCAACCAAAAGGAGCATTTACAGTGTACTAAATGATCTGTGGGTGTTTTTGAGCTGACACTTCACAGACTCATTCTGGGGACACCTGAAGCTTTATTACATTTTACAAAATAAATAATATTTATTTATCTATCTATCTATCTATCTATCTATCTATCTATCTATATAGTGGTCATAGGCCTGCTGTATAAGGATACTTTAACAACTGTACATCAGAACTGTTTTATGCTAAAGTTTCACACCACACAAAACAAACCAAATTTGTAATGTGAGACCTTTAAAGTAATATTTTAGAGTTTAACTGCAGCAAAGCAAAATCTGCCGTCCACCAACATCCTGCCTATACTGTAACTAAATTGCCAGATGCTTCTGTGCACAGTACATCATTTATAGGTTCCTATTGTGCTTTTTAATGTTTACTTTAGTGTAATGTTGCTGTTTTTGCATGAAAAAAAAATCTGCAAAGTTTCAAGTTTCTCCAAAGGGAGTTTGGAGTATCAGTAAGTGCCGTTTCTGAACTCGATTGCAGTCCTGGGTTTTCTTCTGGGAACATACACATCACAATATCCTGCATTTAAATAAATCCTGCCCAAGGCATAAGCTAAAAAAGTATAAGGGGGCGAGGCCTGGTTGAGTTGCATTAGTAGTGTGTTGTCACCATCTATCTCCAAGAGATGTCGTTTCACAGATCTAATAAAATGATACACATTCAGCTGTTTGCGTTCACAGACATAAACATCTGTGTTTGTGTGAACTTTGTGTGCTTGTAAAGAATAATCTTTACATTATTATGAAGAGCTGCAACGTCACACAAGCTTGAGTGTGATAGTAATGATAACTAAAAACAAACAGATATTTTGTTTTTATGCATATGCATGTTTTTGCATTCAACCAAAAGGAGCATTTACAGTGTACTAAATGATCTGTGGGTGTTTTTGAGCTGACACTTCACAGACTCATTCTGGGGACACCTGAAGCTTTATTACATTTTACAAAATGGGGCAAAACCGGACCTCTTTAAAAATAGAGGAATTATTATCCATTGATTGTGACATTAAAGGTGTCAGTGTGCTCCCAGGGCAATTGTTGGTGTTTTGGGGCTATTTATATATGCCAAAATGTGTGCTAAGATGATGGGAGACATTGTGTTCCGCCAGCCACGTTCCCTCTAAGCCGCGAACCAAAGAGGACGGTGAGGATGGGATAAGAGCACCCGTCCCTCCGCAGCAGGGTTTGCTCTTTCAGCTGTGGGGGATCTAGCTATATAGGCTGACATCTGAGTGCAACTTGCTTAACACGCGGGACAGACATGTTTCTGTCATCGCATGTCCTTTGTGACTCTTAAAGGGATAGTTTATGCAAAAAAATTAATTCTGTAATTCATAGATTCTGTTAACATTTACTCATCCTCCACTTGCTCCAAACCTGTGTGAAGTACTTTTTTCTGTTGAGCACAATAGAAAATATTTTAAAGAATGTGTGTAACCAAATAGTTAGCCATACTAGTATTTTTCTTTCCCATACCATGGAAGTCAATCGCTACCGTCGACTGTTCGCTTACCCAACGAAAGAATATTTATTTATTTATCTATCTATCTATCTATCTATCTATCTATCTATCTATCTATCTATCTATCTATCTATCTATCTATCTATCTATCTATCTATCTATCTTTCTTTCTTTCTTTCTTTACATACTTAGATTTTTTGTCTTGTTTTTCAGTACAAATATCAAAAAATAAAATTTAAATTTTAAAATTTTAAAAACTTAAATCAAGATAGATTTACTGGGAAAACAAATGACATAACACACTGTCTTGCTTTGTAAACAAATTTATTAAATTTAAGTTTATGCTTAAAATAGGAAAAAAATAAAATAAACTTGTTTTCCATTTGAATTAAGGTTATTTTTCATAGCCTTCATTTTTTATTTATTTTGTCATTATTTATTTATTTGTTTGTTTGTTTGTTTTTCTCTTTCTTTCTTTCTTTAAGCATATGGTTCTCAAGTATCTTGATTTAAGAAGATTTTAAAATTTTAAAAACTTAAATCAAGATAGATTTACTGGGAAAACAAATGACATAACACACTGTCTTGCTTTGTAAACAAATTTATTAAATTTAAGTTTATGCTTAAAATAGGAAAAAAAATAAAATAAACTTGTTTTCCATTTGAATTAAGGTTATTTTTCATAGCCTTCATTTTTTATTTATTTTGTAATTATTTATTTATTTGTTTGTTTGTTTGTTTTTCTTTCTTTCTTTCTTTAAGCATATGGTTCTCAAGTATCTTGATTTAAGAATGTTTACATATTTGTACTGGAAATCCAGACAAATATACTAAGTAAGGAGTTTTTTTTTTTTTTTGCAGTGCATGAAGTTGCATGACATTTTTCATGTTTCTAAACATAGAAAATCTTGATGGTTTTAGGTGTTTTGTGTGTATGGACATACCAGTTGTAGGGTTAGTATGTGCATGGGTGTGTAGGATTATTAGCGTGACTGTTGGCATATACGTGTGAGGAAGCAGGAAGGAGTATGTGTGTGTGAGGAGGGGGCTCATTATCTCATATGTAATCAGCAAAGCCTCGTTTTCTGCGTCAGTCCAACACACAGTCATGTGTCTGCGCCAGTGAATCAACCACCAGTTTTATGTTGTGTTATCAAAAGTGTTTGCTTTCCTCGCTTCTTCAGTTAGTGAAACAGCTGCCCTCTCACGGATCCCTGTAAGCTTCTGGATGAAATGTGACTGGTTAACTACACAATGGCTTAGTCCTGCCGGGCTGATGGGGGATGGGGCTGGAGTTTCTGGTCATGTGATACAAACCATATTTAATACAATCTGAACTACATACAGCAGGACTTACAGCAGTGGGCGAGTCAGCGACACAGTACGATCTCACAATCTGTGTCAGTGACCCACTAAAGACCAAATACTGTGTGTTTGTTAATACCAGTCGTGTAACCAAACCTGGAATGCAATGAGAAACACAAGTACAATGAATTCTCACAACTTTGCTCATGCTCTGCATAAATGATAATGTGCAAGTTAGCCAGTCATGATCACAAAATAAACCCTTGAGAGGGTGATCAGGACCCCCAATGTTAATTGAAGGGGTTTTGTATCCTTCTAAATGGGTTTATTTTGAGATAATGACCAGCTGACTGCACATTATCCCATTAATTCCATGGCTACTTACCAAACAAATAAATAAATGTGAAAGAAATATTGATTTGCTTTCAAATTATACTGTTATATTTAGCAACAAGCTTCACTACCACCATCAAAAGGTTGAAGTCAGTAAGTTTTTAAAGCGCTTTTATTCAGGAAGGATGTATTCCAAGGATACATGAAACTGATCGAAAGTAGCAGTGGTGACTTTATATTTGTTACAAAATAATACTTCTATTTCAAATAAATGCTGTTCTTTTAAGCTTTCTATTTATCACGCAATCCTGAAAAAGAAACATCTAACAGTTTCAACATTGCTAATAATGAGAAACGTTTTGATCATCTGAATCAAATGTTTTTGATCATTTGAATCATTTGATTTTGATTAATTTTAGCACGAGGTCTGAAGTAATAACAAAAATAGCTGGGATCAACAGCTTCAACACTGTTTCCAGAAGGGTGGGTGGAAAATAGCATCCTTCTCTGTGTCACCCTTGCTTTTGTAATTACTCTAATGTGACATGTAGGTCACCGCGGCTCACAAAGCTTGATAGAGTTGTGAAGTGTGTAATCAACAGCCATTAACAGAGCCATTGCAATTTCTGTCATCATTTCCTCACCCTCAAATCAGTGCAAAATGGTATGACCGACTTTCTTCAATGGAACACAGAATTAGATATTTTAAGAAAGTTTTTATTGTATAGTCACGCAGAAAAAAATTTCATACAGGTTGGTAACAACATGAGGGTGAATAAATTATGACAGAATTGTATTTTTTGAATGAACAAGCCCTTCAATATCATCAGTGGCTGTATAATGGCTGATGGAGGTGCAGTCTGTTACAAAGTTCCATGCACAAACTTAACCTGAGCAACACAACCCACAACAAAAAATGCTGGAGCTTAAGGTCACATGTTAACCTTTAAACAGGGTGATGTTATTGGGCCACAGAGGCCATCTGATGTGTCCATTTATTCAATTAGTGTAAATGTCAGTGAGCATGAAGTTGAGGGTGGTATGTTTTGGTTTGATGGCAGACACTGCATTATGTGCTTTACTCACCTGATAAACAGATTTTTGTTTGTTTTTATGTTATAAAATAGATCAGGCAAGAGAACAGACTTTTCTGCTGGCCTGGTTAAGATTTGCTTCATCCTGTCAATATTTTTACTGGCCCCACCACAAAACAACGAGTGTTATTTTAAGCCACAGAATTTTTTTTCTTTCGTTTTTTAGAAAAAAATAATAGCATTAAAACTTTTCTATTCTAAAAAGTAGTTTGATGTCATGTGTGTGGTAACTTTACCTTGGTGACATATTTAAAACACAATTTGCACCAATAATTTGCAATACATAGAAGAGAACCAAATGTTTTCAAGTGTTTGAGGCATGTGATCCACAAATGCAAGATGAAATGATAAATTGCAAGGTGCTAATATTAATATTATCTCACTGGCAGACAATGAGAATAGTGATGACAATATGTCAAAAAAATTAAACATAAAACATAGCATAATATATATCTTAAACTGAACATTAATGAGCAGAAAATGCAACAGCAGTGATAGACATTACAATTAGAAACAACCAAGCCAGTGCCATCTTTGTGTCCTGTGTTATTTAAAAGAAGCTCCAGGATTTTGGGGAAAACCAAATGCTTCAAAACCAGAAAATCGGAAATAATCTCAAAGAAATCCTCATGAATTCACTTACATACTTTTTACAGTCAACCTGCAGCAAAATACAAACAAAATGACATACTGCTGAGCTTCAGAGCTGTGGTGGCATTTCTATTTTTAAGGAGTAATCTCATTTAAGGAGTTGATATTCAAATCCTTGGAGCATGCAGAATGTGTCTTACTCATCCGTGCGTGATGTTGTCAGGAGCTTGATGAATTATTCATTCCAGGCCTTTATTTTTACGTGCCACTTT